GCGATCGTGTTCGCCTTCGGCTGCATCGCGTCCTCCGTCGCCCTCCACGACGGCATGCTCCGGCGGACGCTCCTCAGCCCCATGTCCTTCTTCGACACGACGCCCGTGGGCCGCGTCCTCAACCGCTTTACGCACGACATCGCCAGCGTAGACAACGAGCTACCCAACGTCATCAAGCAGACCTTCGCGACCCTGTTCTCGGTGAGCGGCATTTGCATTTTCGACGTTACACACATAATTATAGCAATCTTCTTTTGACCAAAAGACCAAAAGACCAAAAAGTTGAAAGAAGTAATTTTTTAAAAAAATCTGGTCATTTCCCCCCGCAGTGCCTGACCACGCTGGTGGTCATCTCGGCCAGCACGCCGCTCTTCCTGTCTGTCGTCGTGCCTCTTGGCCTCGTGTACTTCTTCGAGCAGCGCTTCTTCGTGGCCACGTCGCGACAGCTGCAGCGCCTCGAGTCCGCGTCCAAGTCGCCCGTCTACTCGCACTTCAGCGAGACGCTGACGGGCTGCTCGTCCATCCGGGCGTACGGCGCCGTCGACCGCTTCGTCGCGGAGCTCGAGTCGCGGGTGGACGCGAACCAACGGTGCCACTTCCCCGTCACCGTGGCCAACCAGTGGCTGGCGGTGCGCACCGAGCTGGTGGGCAACTGCGTCGTCTTCTTCGCGTCGCTGTTCGCCGTCCTCGGCCGCGGGGCCATCAGCCCCGGCACCGTCGGGTTGTCCGTCAGCTACGCCATGCAGATCACCGAGGAGCTCAACTGGCTCGTGCGCTTCGCGTCCTTCACGGAGAACAACATCGTCGCGGTGGAGCGCATCAGGCAGTACGAGGAGCTTCCGCAGGTATGAAGAGGAAATTTCTGAAAATTTCTTGGAATTTTTTGGAAAAATAAGGAAAGTTTCCAACCAAAAAGCAAGGCTAATTTCCGGGATCTTCGAAATTTTTTCTATCTTTCCGGAAATTTTCCAGAAACTTTTCACGACTTCCAACCCTGAAAGGCATCGTCCAGAAAGTGCGCCCCTGTTTTGCTTAGGGGTTCGTTCGGTAAAATAGGGGGCAGCTCGGGCGCCCGCGAGACTCAGGGTGGGCCGGCCCGCAGTACACGCATGCACTGCGGGCGAGGTGTTGCTTACCCACCAGGCGCCATGAAAGCTTGCATCGGCCGAACTTTGGATAGTTTTGTAAAGGCGAAGGGGGCCTTCTCTCATGGTAAGGGCGAATGGCGGACGTACTTGCCGGGAGGGAATCCCTGGAAAGTTTCCGGAAAATTTCTGGAAAATTTCTGGAAAAGACGGAAAATTTTTCGGAAAAATGAAAAATTTCTCAGATTTTGGAAAGTTTTCCGTTGTTTTCCGTGTATTTGCGCAAAGTTTTCGGAAATTTTCCAACTCTAGCCAGGACCCAGGACCGGCACACAAAACTGACCCGAGCGTTCTTTATTGCACCTTAGGAAACCCCATGCACCAAGAAGCGGTCGCACGTGGACTCGGCTTGGCCCGCCGAGGGCGCGGTGGAGTTCAGAGAGTACGCCATCCGCTACCGGGAGGGCCTGGACCTCGTGCTCCGGGGCATCGACGTGCGCGTCGAGGCCGGCGAGAAGGTGGGCATCGTGGGCCGGACGGGCGCGGGCAAGTCCTCGCTCACCCTGGGGCTGTTCCGCATCGTGGAGGCGGCCGCCGGCCAGATCCTTGTCGACGGCGTGGACATCGCCGGCGTGGACCTGCACACGCTGCGCTCGCGCATCACCATCATCCCCCAGGACCCCGTGCTGTTCACGGGGTCGCTGCGCGCCAACCTCGACCCCTACGAGCGGTACTCGGACGAGGCCGTGTGGCGCGCCCTGGAGCGCGCCCACCTCAAGGACCTCGCCAAGGGGTTCGCCGCCGGGCTCAACCACGCCGTCGCGGAGGGCGGCGACAACCTGAGCGTCGGCCAGCGGCAGCTGGTGTGCCTGGCGCGCGCGCTCCTCCGCAAGACCAAGGTCCTCGTCTTTGACGAGGCCACGGCCGCCGTCGACCTCGACACAGACGACCTCATCCAGGTACACGCCGACGATGCTGCGGGCTGAGAGTCTGACGGAGCGAACGCCCAAGCGCGAAACTGACCTCACTTTTGTTCTCGCTTTCTCTAGAAAACGATCCGAGAAGACTTTAAGGAGTGCACTATTCTGACCATTGCTCACAGGTTGAATACAATCATGGACTGCAACCGGTAAGTCACAGCACAACGAGGTTCTGGGTTTGTGTTTTCGTGCAATAGTTACAAAAACACTTCTCTCATTTTTTTATGTTTCAGTGTCCTCGTCCTCGACAAGGGCAAAGTCGTAGAATTCGATTCGCCACAGATGCTTTTGCAGCGAAACGACTCCATGTTTTACTCCCTGGCGAAAGATGCTGGGCTGGTCTGAGAGGGAGTTTCTTTCGGCTCCCGAATTAATGAAATTATACTCGCTACGAGGCAGGGCGATTTTACTCACAGAATACTCTTATTTTTAAAAATAATAAAGATGAAAACATCATTGGGCTGAGCTTACGTCATCCTCGTTCAGCTTATTGGCTGGCACGGCACACCCACGTCAAGATATAGTTTCGCATGCAGGTTTCATGTTTGTTAAGAGCTACATCGGGTGTGAATTTTTAGAAAACTTTGAATGTATACAGAAGGCAAGGAGAGGGGTAGAAAGATGTTGCGCTAAAAAGTTGGAGGTAGAGCCTAGTAGGTAGGCAGGTCGTTGTCCGAGAACACAGCTGTCCTGGGCGGGTGGCCTAGCCTGAAGTTCGCAGGGGTCCAGCTGAGAGCGCGCGCGCGCGAGAGAGACGGAGGAGGTCGGTGCGAGGGTAGCGCCGGCCGGCGGCGCTAGTGGTCCTGTGGCCGTGGGGCCGCTCCCGGCGCGGAGGGCTGCCTGGCTCCTCTGTCCGCAGCGGCCCGGTCTGCCCGGGGAGCCCCCCCGCGGCGCGCGCAGCCCTCAGTGCGTTCTGGAGCGGCCGCGGGGATGAGTGGACGGCGCGCAGCCTCGCACCCGGCGGCTTGACGTGGTCCTCGAGGTGGCCGTCGAGGAGCTAGCAGGGCAGCAGCTCGCCCCGGGCGGTGGCACCCTGCCGCCACCGTGTGTCCGCGCCCATGTCGACGCCACCGAGGTCCGCGACGACGGCGACCGGTCCGGGGGAGAGCCTCGCGCGTCGGCCCACGCCGCCGGGCCAGGAGATGCCGCCGTAGCCGCCCCGCACCATCCCGCTCATCGTTGGAAGGCACGTCGGCACCTCGGACTAAGCAGGCGCTGCTGAGCCCCCAGAACGTTTCGAGTTTATAGCCCTCTTAATTTGGGGGTTCCGAGAGAGACGCAAGGCTTTCAGTCCAGATGACCTGTCGTCGTCGTCGTCGTCGTCGACCCGGAGTTACCCACTCTTGGCGGGTCGCAGCGGCAATCGGCCGGCAGCGGTCACTTGTTTAGCACGACGGATATGTATTCTTCTCCGTAGAGAGGCATATAAGCAAGTGACACCAGGAGACTGTCCGCAACTTCAGGAGAGAGCACCTAGTCCTGCAGCATCCTTACGGCCCGTTCAAGGTAAGGCGACTAGAATCGAAAATTTCCCAAATTTTCCTGAAAATTTCCGAAATTTGCTGAAAATAACAAAAAACTTCCAAAGTCTGGGAAATTTTAAATTTTTTCCGGAAATTTTCTTGAATTTTCCCGGAAACTTTTCAGGGTTTCCAACCCAAAAGGCGACAGCGAACACGAAGGCTCATCCTCTTCCTTTCTGTCTCCACCCCCCCTACCCTTCCCGTGAAAGCGAAAAACAAGAGAAGGGCCTCATCGTTAATTATTTTCTTGAAAAACTTTTCCGAGGAAGATCAGCGTAGAACCGAAGGAGAGAGCTTTGCGTGACATTTGAAAAACTGTCTTTGATGTCGGCGTGGAGGTGGTGACGCTCTGTCCGTCTTTCTCTCTATACTGCGGGCCCTGGCTGGAGGAGGGCGTCCCCGAGCGGCGGATCCGGCTCATGGTCATCGACACTCGGCCCCAGGGCGTCCCCATGCCGGACCTCCACGGGCTGAACAAGTGGCTGACGGCCGGGGGCCGGGGGCAATGTGATGAGGACCAAGCACGGCCTGCTTTGTGATCACGATGAATTAAACCCGTCCAGGCCAACCTGCCTCAACGCCATGCGGTCTAGTACTTTGAGTTAAACTGGTTAAGAGGAAGTTACTTTAACTTGTAGAAACATAGTAAAAAAAAGTACATA